ACAGAGTCCCTGCCCTCCTGGCCCTGCGTTCCCGTACAGCGGCAGGACATTTAAGTGCCATGGGTCCCGGGAATGGAAAGATGTTGCCTTTCTTAGATGGAGTCTTCCTCGTTGGACAATTCCAACTTTAGAGTTTTCACTCACCTGACTTTAAAGGGAATTTGAGGGATCCCTGGGTGGCGCAGAGGTTTGGCGCCTGCCTTTGGCCCAGGGCGCGATCCTGGAGACCCTGGATCGAATCCCACGTCGGGCTCCCGGTGCATGGAGCCTGCTTCTCCCTCTGCCTGTGTCTCTGCCTCTCTCTCTGTGTGTGCCTATCATAAATAAGTAAAAAAAATAAAAAATAAAAAATAAAAAAAAATAAAGGGAATTTGAGGGGCACCTGGGTGCCTCAGTCAGTGAAGCATCTGCCTTCGGCCCAGGTGATAATCTCAGGATCCTGGGATCAAGCCCCTCATCGGGCTCCTTGCTCAGCAGGGACTCTGCTTCTCCCTCTCCTCCTCTCTCTGTCTACCCTTTCAGATAAGTAAATAAATGATCTTTAAGGTGAATCTGGCACATAAATCTGCTGGCTACTGATATCTTTGCCAAGAGTTATTTTTCTCTAAATCTTTATCTGCCGGCCCACATTTCTGTGCCCCACTAACACCTCATCGCCTCACTTGTGCAAGGCCACAGGTTCAGTGCTGGGCCTGCGTCTTCCTGTGGCTCTGGACCCAGGAGTGGCCTCCAAGCCAGCAGTATTGAGGTGCTTGTTACCACTGTCATCTTTGTGCCTGTTTCCAGACACCAGAGTGCTCTGTTGAGGAGCTGGCCAGCCCTGTGGCGTCCTCACTTGAGAGCTGATTGCAGGGCTCTTTCAAGGTAGTTTTGTAGCGCACAGGCTCACGCCTTGTATTTGTAGTAGCTATGGAAACTTTAGAAGCTGTCTCTCTAAAGCTAAGCGCACAATAAAGCACTTCACGTGTTGGTAGGATTAGACTTTAGAAGATGTTTAATTTTCTCCCCCACTCTTTCTTTCTGTCTGTCTCTTTGGAGAGGGAACAAGAGGGCAATGTGAATATTAACTGGGCCTCGCTTTAATCTCCCTAGTGACACTTGGGGCTGTCTAGGGCTGCGCGGGCTGCCCGGGGCCCTGGGCTTTCACAGCCGCTAACAAGGACAACCATGCATATTCATGAGCCGGGCTCGCGCGTGAGACCCCATTTGTAAGGGCTGTGTTTCAGTGTTTCTCTTTTCAACTCAAATTTTATGAAAGAAACAACCACTGAATTTGTTTTTTTTTAATGATTATTAAGTCAGAAACCCCAGACAGTAGTGCTAAAATGTTCTCACTGGAAACAGGGACAAAGTAGAGCACGTCTGTGTGGCACTTAATTTATAGACAGACAACACAGCCCCCAAGTGCGGGTGCTCACTGGGGGTGGAAATGCAGAGCAAGCCTTTCAGATTTGCCCAGGAAAAGTGTGGAGCAGAACGCAGCATTCTGACTTCACGAAATCCTCCTCTAAAAGAGGAAATGCGATTCCACTTATGTAAGAATGTGAAACATTTAAGTGAAAAGTGTGGGGTTTTGCTGCTTGGCTATTTCTTATTCTCAAGGTGTGCCAAGAAGCTGGCTCCACGCACATCTTCCTGCCCTTTAAACACCAGTTTTGCCTTTCCTGCTTTGGGTTTTACTGCCTCTTCTGTTAGGTTGTCCATTTGGTGGCTGTGCCAGGGATCTGTCCCTGGAGAAGTTCACAACTACCGCATTTTGTTCCTGGACTTGGGCCGGCCCTACTAGGAGCAGCACCCTTGCCCGTTCTGACTGTCGGGAATCTTCACCACTCTTATTCTCTCCTCTGCGCTCCTCTCTCCCTAGGTATAAAATGGGGGCGTGTAGGGTAGGCGCGTTTTAGTTTTCCAACACTGTAAACGGTGAAGTGCTACAAAGCTACCATGGCAGGGCTTTTACAAAGTGTGTCGGTTGCCTCCCCACAGTGGGCGTGATTGAGATCTCCCCTCTCGTCTGCACTCACGAGAATCCTCCTGGGGTCTGTTGTCATGGACCCTTTATTGACACTGTGCATGCAGATTTCTTGCCTGTGTTGCATTTATATTGGTTTACTTTCATCTAATCCTTCTACCCTGCAAAGCCCTGAGTCAGGAAAACACCCCGAGAACAAGAAGGACCCAGTGCAGGTCAGTGCAGTGTCACCACGGCCCCACCCACGTGGTGAGTGGGAAATAGCATTCACTGGATCAGACGTCCAGCAAACCTTGCCCAGCACCATGCTTGGAACCAGTTGGTGACCCAAGACCTCACACTTGCTCAGGAGGAGTTCACAGGGTGTTTGGGTGGACAGATAGAAACAGTCACAGCTCACGTGGTGTCCACAGCCCACGCTGTGTCAGGAGCCAGACTGGGTGCTAGGGCTACAGAGATGAATTCGGTGTGGCTCCCACCCTCACGGTGCTCATGGACAGGTGAGTGCAGTCCAGTGGGCTGGGCCGAGGGCTGGCGGAGGATGCTCTGCAAACACGCAGTGGGCACCCCTGACTTAAACTGCTCGGAGGCAGTGCCCGGCGTGGCAATGTTGCCAGAGCCCAGATGGGAAGGCCCCCGGCAGAGAGGTGCACTGCGACCATTGGGCGGGGGTCTCGTTTGCCCTGCAATAGAGTTTGATCACTGAAGCCCTGGATGCTGGTTCATTCTCCAGAGACCCTCTGCCTTTCATCCAGTGGCCTCAAGGCTGGCATCGGAGTCGTCCGTTACAGAGCCAGCACCCCCTCCGTTTCCAGGCGCGCTCAGGGTAGATATGGAATTTTGGATTTCCTGTTGTCAGTACATTTCAGTGAATCACCAAGAAGCTTTAGAAGGAAGTGCTTTGCCCTCTCATTAGCATTCGGGAAATTGTACACATGAGTTAAAATTCCTCAGTCGTATGGATTTTCTTGCCTCAATTTCCCCTTCAGTTGTTTGCTCCTTCAGCAGGTCTCCTGACACTGCCTCCCCCTTTTCGTACAAAAAGTGAGGAATTGAATTTGTAGAATGACGTCATTCTGGATGAGAAATTACTTGCAGCAAACGATTCATGGTTCAGAAATTCACTTAACACGTTAGAAGTCTTTCTCATCCAGGATCCTCATTTTTATTCTCTATGCTGGTGTATTATTGTAGGGGTCCCGCGATTGTGGAAAAGGGGGAGACAGTCACATGTAGGCTTTGTGCATTTGAGTATTTATACGGTTCTAGCTCCAGAAAGAAAAACAGCTCTTATAAAGGTACTGGAGGCTTTATCATCGAAGGTTGATGGATAAATGGCAGAAGGACGTTCTCCCACCAAAGCAAGACAGCTAATTATAGAATCAGCATCAGCTGGGCATCAGCAGTTCCTATTCTGTGCCATCTGGAACAGGTTAGTCACTTTATACTCACAAGTGGTTTGGATGACAAACCTCCAGAGACCAGCGGGTCACTCACTCAGCAAACATCTGCTCATCCTTTTCTCAGTGCCGCCCGCAGCCCCGCCAGGAGGAGCCCGGAGAGGCAGGGCCGGCTTGGACCGTCTGTGATCAGGGGAGCACAGAGGTCCTGTCAGAGTTGTGAACCAGTGCGGGTGATGGAAGGACCGGGAGGGAGCAAACTTTTAAAACCCCAGAAGATACGTCCTGACCAGAAAACTGCCGTGTTTTCTGCATCTCACTTGTCTGACTTTAGTGGACAGGCTCATTTTTTTTTTTTTTTTGGTTTTGCTTTGAGGTTACTAAACTAGGGAAACAGTTTGATTTCACATCCTTTCTCAGACACTCCGAGAAAGAACCATAGGCATAATGCACACTGAAGCCTTTCTCTGTGGCTTCCTGCGTCCAGCTGAGGGACTGAGAAATGTCTTGGCCCCCGGCCTCATGGCTGTGCTGGAAGCTAGAACAGGGCCAGAAGCAAGGACCCTTCAGGCTCATGAGCCTGATACATTCTGGAAGCACAGGTGCCCCCCATCCTGACATCAGAAATGCCTGCATGGGAAACTTCTGGCAATCAGGGGAGAAGGTTTGTTTTTCTTGCCAACTTCCATCCGACTGTGGGCAGAGAGGCCTTTCTTCATTGGAGAACGTGTTCACTGTCCCCTGAGTGTTTTGTTTTTCTCTCCGGATCAACAGAGGGAGGCAGGCCCACTGTTCTTGGCATCTCTGACACCTCCCTGGTTCCAATGCTGGAGACTGGTTGGTACCTCTGGCAGTTTCTATACAATCTTACAGAACGACATAACGCAGCAGCTTAATGCCTCCCTGAGATTTACACAGTTCTTGGTAACCAAATAAAAGATTTATCAGTAAATAATACTGCAATTCTACCTTCGTGGGCTGTCTTCTGTCTGCTGTGAGGGATGCTGTGCAGAATATGCAAAATTAGGGCGGGGGCACAGCAAGGCCAGAATCACAAGACGCTTGCTTGAGAGCACAAGTATTCAAACTAAGTACAACAAATCCTTCAGAGGTTTTCTAGCTTCATCTTTAAAATGCAGTGGAATGAGGGAAATTCCATGATGACTCCTAGGAAACAGTTCTTATTTATAACTGAGCTTGCTTTAAACAAGATGAGTCTCTTGTCTGCTTCTAACTTGGCATCTTTGTGACTAATGCTGTCGTGCTCTTATTATCCTGGTAGCTCAATAACATGGTTAACGTATGTACGCGCACACCCACGTGTGATCATACACTTCAGATGTGGCTGCTCCAAGCCTTTGCTTCCTTGCTCATTCATTGAACAAATCCTGCTTAAGTACATCTGTGTGCTGGACATCACACATACATGCACACACACACACTCCTGGGACATAGATGTACAATGTGTGTGCTATATCCTTTTAATTACTTCTTTGGTTACATATTCTGAGCACATCCCCAGAAAGAATTTGCTCACTGTTACCATGTTCCTCCCCTCCCTTCCCAATAACGCTCATGTAAACTTCTGAAACAGGAAAGTATGTTGGCAGATTCCTTTACTCCGCCTCCAGTTCTGACCCAGTGGGTGGTGTACGCCATCCGAAACCTTACTGAAGATAACAGTCAAAACCAAGATCTGATCGCAAAGATGGAGGAGCAGGGGCTGGCGGATGCATCCCTACTTAAAAAGATGGGTTTTGAAGTTGAGAAGAGGGGTGACAAGCTGATTCTGAAACCTACCAGTGACCCACCTCCACTGGTGAGTGCCACAGCGAGCCACCGCTCCCTCCTGGTCCCATCTCCCTGTTAACCTCAGCCCGTGACTGGGTTTCTTCCTGTGAGAACACGGATGGGAGCACTTTGCCTTCTAAAATGGCCAAGAAAGCCCTAAAGTTAATTGCAGATAATTTTGTTCAAGCTTTATGCTGCCATTGTCTTAAAAGTTCAAACTCATTTTAGGGGAGAAATATAAAAATCATATCAAAATTTTTACAGAGTCAGAAGTTTCTGCTGGGAATTAGATTTTCCTGGAGAGATAGCTAATGTTGGCTACTATGAAAAGAAGACGCTCCCTATATAATACTAAATGAGTTGTTTCAAGGTTTCTCTCTCAGCTTTTGACCAAAATTTGCTGTTTTTTTTTCCTCCCATGACTCTTATAAATAGATCTGTTATATTTGCAATTTTGTTTCTTTTTCCTACTTAGTGAATGAACTCTCCATCAAAATACCTGAATTTTTGAGATCTGTTTCATGGATTTTTCGTCTTCTGCAGTATGTGAAATTGCAAGTGTTTGAAGATTTATTACGTGCAAATTCAGGAACACATGAGTCCTTTAGATAATAGAGTTTAACGTGGATAAGCTTGAAAGTGAAAGTACATGAGTATTCCATTGTTTCTTTGCTTTAGAAACTGTCTGGTTTGCCTTTGTCCCCATGGATACAGTGTGCATTTAAGTAATATATTGTACTTACTGTGACGGCAGATAATAAATTCTTCTCTTGGAGGGTGCATCCCTTATTTGGCAAAGACTGGGGCATTTGCTTGGATTCCATTTGTTCCTTCAGATGGCGAATCAGCCTGATTCCTTTTCTTCTCTGCTCGTTGGGTTTTCTGAACTCTGGCAGGCAGTTGAAGTAGTTTCTCACTGTGATTAATTCTAGCAATCTCTTTTCACCCTTTCTGCCTTTCCAAAACATTGACAAGACTCATTTCCAGCTAATTAATTCGAGAGATGCTGAAGAATAGAGAAGCTTGCTCTTCATTTTAGGGACTGGGCTATGCTGTCACTGAGCCCCTTCCCTTTAGAAGGTTGCAGGGAGTGAGTGGGGAGAGCGTGTGGGCCATTAACTCTTCTCTTTCCAAATCACCCGGGAAGAGATCTCCCGGACCCATTGTGTCCCCAGAGGGATGCCCGCATTTTACCCACTTTCGTGTGTCTGAAAGGGGTCTCGGTGCGCAGGCACACAGGATTAAAGAACATCTATGTCCTGTTCTGTTTCAAAGGCACAGTCTCCTAGAGTATACCACTCCAGCTTCAGCCATGGCTCCCACTTTCTGGAGTTGAAAAAGTAGCTTTGGGGATCAGGAGCAAATTTGACCTATATCTTTCTATTTCTGTCTGTCTGTGTCTCTTTCTATATATATATGTGTGTATGTATATGTATATGAGTGTGTGTGTGTGTGTGTGTGTAAATACACATACACATTAGAGCTGGAGCTGGATTAAATGAGTATTGAAATCTTAGCTTATTGATAAAGCCGACAAAAGCTCTAGAAGGGGGGTCACGTATGAACATTCTTGAACAACCAGTTACTATAAACTCTCTAGAGATTTTGCACAGTTCCTGTTGAACCTTCCAAAATAAAAACAACAAAGACACAGCCAGGAGTTCTACAGAAATACTGAGTGTTCCAGAGTAAAGTGCATCTAAGTTTTTTTGTAGCCATACTTGCTTTGTAAAAACAACTGAAGCATGTTCACAGTGAAATAAAAGTTGTCCCACGTGCTAATGTATTCTCTATTTCTGAAGAAACATCAACTTCTAGAATTATGGTGACCTATAAATAACAGTTTCTTCTCTCATTTATGGCATTCCATCGGTAGAGAAACCTTTGCAAAATTTAAAATGCACAAAAGAGTCATTCTTTTCTGGGACACAAAGAGTTAACATCCTGTTCTCTAAGTAGAGGCCCGCCAAAGGGAAAAAAAACAGTGGGAGTCCCTTTTTCCTTTTAACAAGTTTGCAATAGACACTTCTTTTTCTTCTTCTCTCAATGGATGTATGCACACCAGTGGAATCAAACAAACATGTCGGTATAAGCCATATAATAACAAACACTAATAAACAAAAGGGAACCTTGTGTGGGAACACAGAAAGGGGTAATGGCTGTGTGTTTTCTAACTAGGAAATGTGGGGATTGCATAGTGAAAACATGCTGACGGTGGCATTGTGGCTGCTTGGATGCCCTGGATGGTTAATCCTCCGGTACAGCCAACAGCTTCCCTGTCCTCTACCCAGGACTTGGCGATTCTGAGGGCCTCCTTTTCCATCCTTGCTGCGGAGGATTAAATCACCATCTCAATCAGTCATTTAGAAGAAGAAGAAAGGAAGGCAGGCCAGCTTTACAGCATTTGTAAAGGGACAGAATGGTCACAGCAAGTTTTGTGACCATATTATTGCTTCCAAGAGCAAACTAACAAAGCTGTTCAATTTTTTAGCCTGTTTCATTACAAAAGAAAGCAGGGGAAAGCTTTTCTGCCTGATACTGAATCCCAAGTATTTGCAGAATGATTTTGATTAATGCATTCATTAGCAATGGAGATTAACATTTCAAAAATACTTTCATAGTTTTAGTAATATGCTATTATTATAATTTGTCTGTATTTTATATATGTGTATATGTCCATATTAATACACCTCGTAGGGTTGTTTGTGAGTTTTTTTTTTTAGAAGCTGATACTGCTTACATTTCTGTTCAGTAACTTGTGAATCTGGCCACAGAGCTTGGAAACTACTAAAAGATGTCCATTTTGCAAAATGGGAGATAGAGAAATGACCAAATGTGGTCATTGGGACTACAATTAGTAATTTTTAAATCAAAAATTAACTATATATATATATATATATATATATATATATATATATATATATATATATATCTTATGCCCTTTATCTACTACTACATGAATACCCTGTTCTTTTACCAACACTTGGGATTTAAATGTTATTTAACTGTCACCACTATCCTTTCATTTCCATCCTTGAATGAATAAACAAAGACATTGTAATAGAAATGTCAGTCTCTGCAGGAGGAAGACTTTAAAATACATGTTCCATCATCAGTAAGTTCTCCACATAAAGGAACCAATTTCTACATGAGAGTCAGTAAAATTAAGATAGAATTGCAAAATGCAGAGAAATTGAGGAAGAACCCTAACATTGAAAATCTGATACAAATCCAGCCCTTTGGAAGGTGGGTGGAGGAAAGGGCACTTTGGGCGCTGTCCATGGTCCTGATAATTTCAGCCACAGTGGCCTGTATATGAAAAATCAATTAAAAACTTTGTTTTCGAAATTCACATTTTTTCCTCTTGTGTTTGTATGATATAATATCTGTTTTCCTCTTCCCTATAAATTTTATATACTTTTAAGTCAAATTGTGTTTAGGTGATACTTTATGAGTTTGATTTTACCATCTATAATATATATGAATTTTAAAGGTAAGTTTTTTTCTGTAAATAGTAGTTATAGTATTACCTCATTCATCAGACATTGCTCATCACAACCAGTTATGTCAGTGGAAATGACTTTTTGAAAGTTTTGATAATCCTTTAATGTTTCTTTAATTAAAGCCTTCGATTAGAAACATTAGGTTAAATGTTTCTTTTTGTTCAAACAACATCATATATATTCTTCATTTATGCACAGTTTTGTCATGCTCATTGTACATCAGTGAGAACTTAGGTGAAGTTTTATAGCACCAGTGTAATTGTGGCCCCTGCTGTGTAAAGCACAGTGGTCGAAAGGCATAAACGGAAGTGAGTAAGCGGGTCACCGGTCCCCATTTTTCCCCCATGTAACTCAGAGCAGACTCCGTAAGCTCTGTGCCTCCATTTCCTCACCACTAAAATGGGGTTTATGGTACCACCAACCCATAGGAATGTCTGAGTTACCCTTTTAATGAAAGCACTGACAGTACCTGTTGTGTGGTGAGCATTCATTGCTGCCAAGTACTCTTCTTGCTATGAGTGGCCTTTCACACATTCACCGTGAGTATATCTGTTGGAAGCACATGGAAACCGCACCTTCCGTCCTGCTGTCCCCATCTCCATCAGTGCTGGAGCATAGGAGGTGCTCACCAAATGTATTTTATTTCTTTAGAAGATACTTATGTAATGCCTTCTGTGTACCAGGCAGTATTCTCAACACTTTGAAAATACTAATCATGTAATATTCAGAGCAATGATACAGTATGTTCTAGTATAATCCCATTTTATGGATGAGGAAGTTGAGTTGCAAGGGTTAATACCGAGGGCCACACAGCAATAAATGCTTAATGATTAATTGTTGTAGTTAATTAGAAGGGAATGAATGAGGAGGAAAATACAGCTTCTTTCCCAGAAGCATGAGAAGTACATATAGCAGAAATGCCTGGACTGTGGCTCAGGACGTAAGGCAAGGAGAGGTCCATGGGAAGAATGTGGGCTTTGAAAACAACAACAAAAACACCTGGGTTTAAAAACTCCACATATTGTCAGCTGTGTGGTCTTGATCAAGATGCTTCACTTCTCAGAGCCTGTCTCCTCAAGCAGAGTACCGGGCAGGCCCTGCGAGTACAGCAGTAAAGAAGGCAGACACAGTCTGGGCTCTTGTGAAGTTTATGTTCTGATGAGAATGACAAAATTAACAAGTAAATGGTTCTCAACCTGCAATTAGAAGCAACTTCCAAAACTCACCCTTCCTGGACCATACCACAGCTAATCCCATCCTTATTTGGGACAGAACCCCAAGCATTGAGCATCATGTTCTAAAAGCTCCACAGGTGAGCCAGGTGTACCCAAGAGATGCAAAGATAGTAAGAAACAGCCATGTTTCTTACAAGAACGAGGGCATCTGTGAAGAAAACAAAGTGATGATACAGGTAGTAAGCATCCTTTCTGAGATGGCCACGTCTGACCTGTGCAGAGAGCTGGCGCAGAGCATTCACAATGAGACTGTGCCAAGCACAGAAGCCAAGGTGGCAAGCTTCACGTGGTCAGCGGCCAGGAGGGTGGCCAGTGGGGCCAATGCCTGGTGAACCAGGGAAAGGTTACACGAGGGAGACTTGGTCAGAGAGGTAAGCAGGAATTCGATCATGCAGCATCTTCAGAGCCAAGGGGAAACTTGAATCTTACTTGAAGTGTGTTGGGAAGGTACCAAGTGTCATTCAACATAGGAATGAGAAGACTCACTTCATGTTCTTCAGTGACCACTCTTGCTGCTGTGTGGAAAATGAATTGCAGTGGAAAAAGAGGCAGAACTTACGGGGCTACTGATGATGGTGATTTAGACACGCATGGGTCAGTGGCTGTGGAGAGACAGGTTTATATTTGATGTTTGTGTTGGAATTCATAGGGCTTGCTGATGGATTGTAGAGGATGGGCTAACTGAAGTAAAGAATAATAACCCTTAAAATTTTGTTCAGCAACTAGGTAGATGATGTTCACCAAAGGGAGAAAGTTTGATTTGAAGGGGCCAAGAGAATCGAGATTCTCTTTGGGGCAAATTAAGTTTGAGATACCTTTGAGACCTTCCAATGGAAATGACTTTAAGAAGTAATTGGGTTTACATGACTATAGCTCAGAAAACAGATCAGTGCTGGAAATAGATGGTTGGAGACATGTAGATGGTATTTGAAGCCATGGAGATAAATGAGATTGTCTAATGCAGGAGTGTGTATAGAGAAGGGGGCCTACTACAACATGTAGCCCACATTTTAAGCCTACATATAATCCTACACCTAACATAGCTTAAGATATATGCTAA